CCTCAGATGGCAGGGTACCTCTGAGATCTGTCGTTCGGGAACTGGCGGTGACCATGCCATCTGAGGGTTTGACAGCTACCCCCCTCAGATGGCAGGGTGCCTCTGAGATCTGTCGTTCGGGAACTGGCGGTGACCATGCCATCTGAGGGTTTGACAGCTACCCCCCTCAGATGGCAGGGTAACCTCTGAGATCTGTCGTTCGGTCACTCCTGGGTTTGTCGTTCGGGAACTGCCAGTTGCCATACACAAGTTTTTGGCGTTCGGTCACTCCTGGGTTTGTCGTTCGGTAACTGCCGGTTGCCATACACAAGTTTTTTGCGTTCGGTCAGCAAGATTTCTGTCGTTCGGTCACACAAGTTGTTTGCGTTCGGTCAGCAAGATTTCTGTCGTTCGGTCACACAAGTTTTTTGCGTTCGGTCAGCAAGATTTCTGTTGTTCGGTCACACAGGTTTCCATCGTTCAGTCAATATGTTTGTTGGAAAAGTTTATTGGACAATTTTATAACTATTAGTTTGTAACTGACAACTAATGCAACCTATCAGTCATTGCATCAAGCCTTACTGTAGAATGATGTAAAATTTCTCAAGCAAAACAGCACACAATGCTGCAACCATGTTGATCTTATCATAGTCTCTTTTTCTTGATGAATGTTTCTACTAAATTCTACTTTGACTTGACACCCAGTGCACCAATTGTTCTCAGTTATACCTCCAATAGCACAGAGCTATTGGTCCAGCTTCTGGCATTCCAGCAACTGGCTGACAAAGGAAATTTAAACAAATCACACGGAACAATTGTTCTCACACAGTCAGTTGCTCCAGATTAGAAAGCATATTATGTTCAATTCCTAGAGTTCAAAGAGTGGTCCACTATTAGAAGTTGTCACTCACTGCATCAAATCTTAGTGTAGAAAGCCCACGCCCAGCCATACAGTGCACAATGCAACAGCCAAGTGACACTAATCTACAGGCAAGCCCACGCTTCTGACCGTCACCAAATCTTAGTGTACCAAAGCCAATGTGGCACCCGCGAGTGGTCAAAGTCTCACTTGGATCAAATCCTGACAGGGGTGCAGTAAAGAATTCTTTTCAAGAAGGCCCCCACATTCACATGACACACACACACACATTCCAAAAACCACGCAGGACAAGTGGGAAGTGCCTTTGGCCACAATGGACTTTGCAATCATTGCAATCTTCCAGGCCTCACTTTCCTGAGTGTGTGGGCCCAAGCAAGCACATGTCTACAAATCCTCTGGTCAGCCAACACCCACCATTATGAATATGAACGAGACTTAGCTCCACCCTTGCAACCCAGCTTCACCACTCCAAAGGCTGTTGGCAGCAAAACTCCAGTGATAAACGCAAGTCTTGCCGACCTCACCTGCATTTGCGCTTTGCTCCATGATGCTTTTCCCACTAAAGCCAGGATCATCCAAACCCAGCAAAGAGTTCAACTTGTCGATGGTCTCAATCGGCGGATCATCCAGTGGCAACCTGATCACATGCTCCATGAAGCTCCCTTCTCGCTCACGGACATCCTGAGTTTTGGTGGAGTATAGGTCAGGGAACACAAAATATGTTCAGTGTAGAGCCTTTACATAAACTGACAACTCTGTCACTGTTTGACATGATGATGTTGAAGCAACCAAATAGAATGAGCAAGACTGTTAACTAGTGTTGATGTGATAATGGTCACACTTGATTTGGTTGCAAATCTCAGCTGAGCCTCCTTGCACATAGCATCAATCCTCTCTTGGAGTCTCTGTTGCCAGCCAGGCTCCATTGCCGCACAAGATCACACACAAAATTTCACAACAAATCCCTGGAGTCTCTGTGCATGGGTTTCACAGCAGACAGCCGCAATGTACCCATGCATTGATTGAAAACGAGCGCAAGAAGACAGACTTGAATGTACACGCACTTGGGCTCTGCACCATGGACATAGAACACAGCAAGTATAACCCCTAAAGAAACATCAGATCCAAGACCAAGCCTCCACACAAACTTAACAGTAAACAGTAAACAATTTCATGCATTGACAACTTCAGACCTCAGAAAAGAATCTACACAATGTGTGAACCTTCACCACAGCACCAGGTATATGAACCGTTTGTATTCGATCAGCAATTTTCACAGTCATAGGGCGGTTCACTCTGTTCTTCATATCCACAGGCCACACACATACATAATGCGCCTAGATCACTTTCCGGGGAGGACAAACAGCAAAGCTGCCAAAGCAACAGCTGCAATTACATTGCTTGTGAAAGCATTCCCCAGTAGATCTTGGCACTCTGTACAGCTGAGACGATGCTGGAGGCCATAAAGCTCTGCAGGACTTAACCCTTGCAATGCAAAAAGGAATTGCTTTCCTGGATTGATAAAGACTGTGCCCTCCGTCAAGTACAAATATCTCTTCCTCGGTAGCACACAGTGGTGCGTGGTCTTCCATCGCATTCGGGTGATGCTGTCCCCAATGTTGCAGACATAGAGGACACCCTTCAACACAATATCCTCAGTTCAAGGCAGACCAGGTCTTATTCATTGCTCCTTTTTGCCCAACCCACCCACCAAAAAAATCAATTTTAAAAAACATTGAAACTCAGTCAAGTCACTTGTTGTCGCTGCTTTCTCAGTGCTGCAAACGTAAGCATGGCGCCTTCAACCTCTCTCTTCGGCAGCTGCAAAGTTTGCAACTGCTCCTTCAGCCACATCAGCTGCTTGCAGCACAGGTCAGCATCATCAATGCCATGTTGATCTTTGAACTTTGTGTGCATTGAAGGCCACTTTTTGCCAGTGCCCTCATCCTCAATCTTCTTCTTATTCTTTCTCTTGTTGCCAATCTCCTGACTGTTCTGCACACAAGAACATGGTCTGAACCCAAGAAAGATTAAGAATAGGACATGGTCCAACCCCAAAAATGTTGAAACAATGCATCAATATCAACCAAACTGCAAGAAATTACAAATGAAAGGCTCCTCAGGGACTTCATCCCTGCAATCATGGCTCCTCGTTCTCTCCCACAGCATGAACAGAGGCTCAGTCCACTTCAGTTTGCAACGGCCAACAAACTCCCAGGCAGATTCCAACTTCTTTGTCAATGCTGCTTGCGACACTGTGTCCAGACCTCCATTGGTCTTGATGGAAATCCCATACGTACGTCCACGGGACTGAGGAATGCTGAAGTCTTGGCCTCCACTGAAGGCCCACAAAACCACTATCAGCTGCATCTCAACACTAGGAACACCAAATATCTTTAACCCAATGGAGTAAACATGATTAAACTAAATCTTTAAAGTAGCACAGTCATACTCAATCTATCCAAAGAACTGTCAACTTTCTCAAACTCTGTAATGTATCCACGCTGGGCAGAAGTCTCCTTGACCACATCAGTCCCTCGCTCCTGAACATTGCTCTGCCTGAAGCTGTCCAGCTTGGAAACGCATTCCCAAATAATGCAATCTGGTCTCTGTTCCAAAGTGCATGCATCCAAGTACCTGCCACATCAAACACATTGGGCAGATCAGTTGAGCTCAATAAAAGATCCTGGCCCTAGGAAACAACCTTTAATATGCCATGAGGGTAAACAAACAAGCTGAAGTGTTCTGAGCTGCGACAAGAACTCCACCATGCTCTTTCCTGATTTCCCATTTGTGTCCAGGATGGATCTTGGTGTTGGTGTGAGTCCAGAGACATCGTCGCACTCAATGCTCATGATCGCAAGGTCACAAAGAGGCACTTTGCTGAGATGAGGTTGCTGCAAGTGCCCAGTTCGCTCATAAAACCTGGTCTCAGATTGACATTAAATCTGACATGATGTGACCAAGAGGAAGCAAACCACTTGGCAATGCATTTTTCTGAGGCAAAATTTGAAGTCAGCTTTTCTGATGAAACCATGCAGACCACATACAAATTAACAAGTCCTAAACTCAGTTGTTCAGCAATAATAGGCAGGAAACTGCACAGCAGCGTTTGGTTTGCAATCACTGAGGAATTGGGCAAGAGATTCCCTCTTCCATTTGCAGCTTTCTGTGAAGAACGAAGGCACCAAGTCAACATATACATCTTGAATGGACAGCTTCTTGGTCAACATTTCCTTAACTTGGCCACCATCACTTGGTCACTTCAGAATGCTGTGCAACCAGCTCTTTTTTAACAACTGAGACCACTAACAACAGCAAAAAAGAATGGAACAAACAATGCACATAGAGCACAGCTCAGGTTCCAGCGCTATAGTTCCAGTCCCCATCCCTGCACAAAACTCCGCATAATGCACCGCACTGCCCATGGTTGCCTTCATCTTCTTCAAGTGGAGCATCTCTGATGCATTCACAACTCTGGAACAAACATATTCCAAAAAATCACTCAGCCCTGAGGTTTTCAACCCTGGGTTCTCAGTCTCACCATGGGCAGAATCATCAGTCACCAATCGTTTCAGTACCTTCGCAGCTTTTCTGCCTTTGTGAGCAGCTGCTGCCCTCTTGATTCTGTTAGTCTCCGGTGAGCCATCACTTTCAGATGAGGTCTCTAGAGTTTTGTCAGAATCATATGGTTCAAGACTTCTTTTGGAGGCCCCTCCAGGGTTGCTTCTCCCTCGCCCACGACCTTGACGAGCTGGATTTCTCTCACTCCTCCCATGGCCACTTGCACGTCCACGCCCTCGGCCGCGCCCTCGTCCCTGTGCACGCTTCCTTGGAAATCAAAAGCTGAATCACTGATTGGGCAAGTTTCAACAGGTCGGCCAACTACTGTTCACATGTCCAGAAGGCTTGGTGGGATAACAACACAAACCAAATGATGATCAAATCCCAATGCCAGGCACTGTGGTTGCACAAGGTCTTCATCAGAATTAGCATTGGATGTGGCTGCAGAAGACACAGAGGACATAGCCAGTGAGGGAACAAACACACAACTAACCAGTGGTAACTTTGCAGCGTGTGCTACATGACCACTTTCTTGCTTACACAGGTTTTGTGCTTTGAATTTGCCTTGCTGGTTCCACTTGAGTCACATAATTTGATCCAGCACAGGAAACAAGACATGAAAGACATAGATGACACAAAGCAAAGCTTGACAGTGAACACAGAACGCAAGATCAAAGCTGGTGAGGGCACTAAATGAATAGTGTAGCAGTCAAACGTGCCAAGCAAACAATTCTTGAAAGCAGAGAACTGCATGAATGTTTGTGTTTTGTGAACTCACTACCTTATGGGCGTGAAGACGCTATGTTAATTATTTTTTTCCTCCATCACATGATCTTTTGGCACTGGCAGCACAGTGTCCCAGGCTTCACAAACCTTTCATGCAACATTCCAGCTGCCCGCCCCAAAGAGACAAGTGCTCCCAGGACACACCCCAGTACTGCTCTCACCATCATCATCGAAGGCCAATTGCAAGCCACTGTGGCCTCAAAACAAATTTGGTAGTCAACAAGGAATCAAACAAGACAACCTCTTGTCTCTGAGGCAAAAGCCAATGCAACTGGCTCAGTCATAACGCGCATGATCAATCCAGCCAGCTGCAACCCTCGCGACATGGTACCTGGTCAAAGCTGGCCATCCAAGTGACCATAGATTGAACACAACAATGAAGGCTAAGTGCCAGACGCTTTTTCAACAGAGCCATAGGTGCTCCAAGACAAAGTTGCTCCATTCTTGCGATCAACCTCCACCAGAATTTCAATTCCAGTGAGGCACAGTGAAATCAGATCAGTGCAAAGGCACACACTCAGAAGTCATTCAACACTAACTTGCACAAGCTGCAATGAACCTTGTTCACAGCATCTGGAGCAAGGACACGCTGAACATAAAATTGGCCATCCAGGCGACAAGTGATTGGCTTGGCATCCTCTTTCGCTGACTGAGGAGGGTAACACGTGAATGACCTGAATTGCAAAAAGGAACAGTGCCCACATAGAGAGCAACATAGCTATCTCAGCACTATCTCAGCACAACCAGAAGTTCAGAAAGAATTGGTTAGCTCAAACAACTCTGACAAAACAGGGCACATGTAATCTAACATAGTGCAACCTTCCTGACAAGGGACACCCTCTCAAAGTCTGCTGAGATCTTCAAGTCTTCATGTTCACAAGCCTGCAGCACCTGCCTTCCTTCCAAGATCTTCTGCTGCCTGTAGTTATTGTTCTTGGCCTTCCGTGCAGCAGCGCCATCAGCACCCTCAGGGGCCACAGCATCACGCACTGCATCAGCCTCTGGTGCATGGGCTGCTTCAGCTTCAGGCATTGGAGCAGCGCTGGCAATCTCAGGGGCCACAGCATCAGGGGCTGCATCACCCTCTGGTCCATGGGCTGCTTCAGCTTCAGGCATTGGAGCAGCACTTGCAACCTCAGGGGCCACAGCTTCACAGGCTTCCTCAGGTTGTGGTGCATGGGCTTGTTCAGCTTCGGGCATTGGAACCTCATTCTCACTGGCATCAGCATCAGCATGTGGATGAAGCTCCTCCTCGATTGGGCCACCCTCCTCAGCCCCTTCATGAACTGGGCTGCAGGTCAAACATTGCCACGGCAAGTCCTCGAAGGCTAGTGCATCCTCACCACCCTTTCCAGGAGATGAGACCTCGATCTCCACTTCCATTGCCTGCGGCACAACAGCTGCACTCCTCCCAGCATCAGGAATCTTCATCTCACTGGCTTTGGGTCCAATAGCAGCATGCCCATGCATCACTTCTGCAGCGCCCTTCCCATCAGAAAGGATAGGCCTTGCCACAGCCGTTGCCACTTCCTTTGCTTCTGCAGTTGGCTCCTCACATAGGAAGTGTTTTTGGTTTACAGTATGTTATATTCCCTAAACATATACCGACTTCAGAGTTGTTTCTTGAAAGCACAGCTAAGTGTCCATGACTGGGCTCTTCTCAGGAGAAGAAATGTATCCATCCCAGAAGCCACAAAAGCCATGACTTCCAAAGCTGCGTTTCCTTCTTTCGGCCTGCCTCTCCTTCAACTGGTTGGGATCAACGTAGAACCTGGACACAACCTTGTGAGGGCTGGAGGTCGCAGCTGTTTC